AACTCCAACAGGAGGGTATGGTTTCATATGGGCAGTACTAAGCCAAACATTTGGGTTGTGTTGGTTATTTTGCCAGTTCATAACCAGGATGTAATAGAAAGTTTACTTGTTGGTTATTTGGGTTGACCACATTGATGATAAATTACAAATTCTGAAGGTCAGAGATGGGATCGGTTCAATTCACCCTGGAACAACTCCAAATCCACATAGCTATTAAACATTGCCAGTCAACGCAGATGCCATGAGTAACTGTGTTTGTTAAAAGGAGCTGGCTTTTAAAGGTCATCTTTTCTATTTTTCACTCCCAGTCCTAATGGATGTTCACTCTGCCTCACTCTCTTTCTCTCTACACTGAGGCAGTACAGAACTTGGAAAATTCTTCCTCAGTCCCATGGGAAGCAGACCACACTTCAACAGAGATGTGTAACATGGTCTGGCATGATGAGTAACAGCCCACATGTTTCCCCGTGTGTGAATATGGTATTGCTTAACCTCAGGGGTAATGGAAGTTGAAAATTGGCACCAGAGACCAACATCTAAAAACTTTGGCTACTGTGCATGCAGTTGCTACAGAGGATGTTTCTAATACAAGAACTAAGCACTCGTTCCATTCCACATGCTGAGCTATTGATCAGATTAACAATGGTGCTGTTAAATCTCCTGTCATTGAACCATGGGCAGATTCCTACAGACGTGTGTGACAGAAGCTGCCCAGAGCTTCCTGTGGAAAGTGCTCTCTGCCCTAAGAAGTCAGCCATGCTAACTGGTCCCTTTCCATAGCATGGATGCCAGAAACAGCAAACCACAAGCACTACAGCAATTTACAGATGACTGCCACTGAGACTTAAAATTTCATGTCATCTTCCTTGACCATTGAGTCAAAAGTGACCTTTTCATAATGGGAAAGCCCCAGAGCACATTCCTACCCTCATCATAGAACAAAGCACTTGAGAGTACTGACTGACTTGTTTCTCTCCCTCACTGAACACTAAGCCCCTCGAGAGGAGACTGTGTCTCATTACTTCCCCACAGTGCCCGGCACAAGGTTTGGCACCAAGTAGATTCTCTATTGTGTTTGGTGAATAAAATCAATTAGAAACATAATGTGCTAGATATGAAGTAACCTGTAAGGGGACAATCAGGGGGTCAGCAGAAGGTTATTATCCAAGACCAGTGAGTAATCATTACTCTTTTTACTAGAACCATTCACCTCTAGTCCTAAAATCCAGGCTGCTTCTTAATTATCTATAGAAATGGGGCCAGAAATGAGAATTGGGGGAGGGGCGTGAAGTATTGGTTAATATAAAAGAATGACAGATTTGGGTTAGACATAATTTTCTAATGTTTGCTTAGGAATAGACTTGTTTCGGCCTCATAAGAGGATGAAATCTGAAAGGCCCAAGACAGAAGGAAGGATGAATGGAATGAGCAACATCAAGAGGTAATAAATTTCCTGTCACTAGAGGTATTTCATTAGAGGCAATGGTGTGCAGGGTCTGGCTTGTACTTCCTTGAGAGAGCTGGCTATAAATATCTTCCCAGCCCTGTGTTCAGAGATGTTGTACTGGGTAGCTTGAAATCAGCCATGGTGGCAGTATTTACACCATGGAAACTGGCTAACTACAAACCAAGACTTTTGAATTTTTCCCAGAGAGCCAGTTGTTGAACATCTACCAGCACATCACTGATTAAAGGTTCAATGCCTGATATTGAGGACATGTATACATGAGATCCTACTCTGAAACACAGTTGGCAAGGTAACATTTTAGGCCTCCACCAGCACCAAGTTATTTGATGCATCTCTTGCCCTATCTGGAGACACCTCATGCGTGGGATGGTTGTCATTGTGTTGGCCCCACCACCAAGCTTCCCAGGCCTGGTTACCTCGCCCGTTTAAACTTGTATGGACTTAGCTAAAGATCTGGCTCCCCAACACAAATACCACCAGACCCTGGCTCAATACACACAGATTCAGCACCTGACAAGCAGTCCTGCTCAGAATCCTGAGTTGGCATACTGCTGGGGATAATTTCCTGCTCTGTGACATGAGAGTTTTCCCCAAGCTCCACTGTAGGCGTGGAACAGCCCTGGACTCCACATGCTCATGAACAAGTAGAGGCTGGAGGGTAGGGCCACTAGCATTTTCTTGTAGACAGGGTGTGCTTTCCGAGATCTGCCCCAAGGATCCCGTCCCCATGAGGTCAAGAGTCACGTGGGGCCACTGGGAGGGTGTGTGTACGGGAGTCACAGGAGACACAGATGAAGGTAATTAGCAGTTGTCACAAAACAAAGCTATAAGAGCAGCGCTCAGTGCATGGGGACACTTGGCTTCCTCCTGTGAATAAGGAATTCATCTGGTTTCAGCTCTCTTGGTCCTCAAAGCTACAACAGACCTAGAGAAATACCCCATGCCTATGTGGCTACTTGCTCTCTCCTTTCCATGACACAGCCCAGGCCTGACAGGCAGTCGGTACTTAAAAAATATTTTCTGAATAAGCAAACTAGCAACCATTCTCTGCCTTAGGCCTCTCAGACTTCACCTCTCTCTGAGGACCGGAACAAGTCCAACTCCTCCAGAAGGCCTTCCCAGACCCTGGTATTAGAGCATGCCACCAACCCAGGTCTGAACCCCAAATCACTCCCTTCCCTTCTCAAAAACTCCCCCAGTGGAAGTCAGTCTGTGAAGACCCCTACTTGGACTTGTCTTGGCTTCTGTGGGTCTTGTTTCTTCAAGGAGACCATGAGCTCTGTGAGGGCAGGACCCAAGCTTCCTCTTTCTCTAGTGTCCTTCTATGGTGTCTAGCTCAATGTCAGGGGTCTCAAGGTCCCATGATTACTGGTCATTGGCTAGGAGCTCCAATCACTGGATCGTAGATCAGATCTAGAAGATATTTTATCCCTCCCTCTTTTTATTGCTTCTCTTGTTCTCTTCTCTGGGTTGCAGAACGGACTCCGTGCTAGCAATGTCTCCCCAGACGGTGACAGAAATGGCAGCCACTTCCCTAATGAGGAAGCAGCAGAGCCCACAGGCTAAGCACACTCAGCACTCCCTCATGACCCAGGTGACATGGAGTTGGCCCTGCCTTCCTACCTTGCTCTTGGAGAGAAAATTGGACTGACTAAAAGACAGTTATGAGCAAAGTACCCCCACAGAACAGAAATGAAAATAGCATGAAGCACTTGGCCTTCCCCAATTCTAACTTAGTCTCAGAAAAGAACTCAAACTTGGGGAGAAATGGGTTTACTTTCCCTGAAAGAATTCAGAAGTCATATGGGGAATATGTCAGCCGTTTGCCAACTTCAGATTTAAATTAAGTTTAAATTTTTTTAGAGCTCATAATGTTTATGCAGATTCTAAAACTGAGCAAGATATTTGCTACTTCATTGTACAAAAATCTAAATCCAGGAGAATCCATTTCTGTTCCTGATTCCAAACTTAGTACCACGAGAGCAGATTTGTTTTGTTCAAATAAATACTATGATTGAATCATCCTCACATCTACCTGCCTTAGTCGGCTTGGGCTGCCATAAGAAAACACCAAAGACTGGGTGGCTTAAGCAACAGAAATTTATTTTCTCACAGTTCTGGAGGCTAGAAGTCAGAGGTCAGAGTGCCAGCATGGTCGGGTTCTGGTGAGAGCCCCCTTCCTGGCTTGCAGATGGCCACCTTCTTGCTGTGTCCTCACGTGGCCTTTCCTCAGTGTGTGTGCATGGAGGGATCTCTCTGTCTCCCTCCTTCTCTTAAGGCCACCAATCCTATCAGAGTAGGACTCCTCCCTTATGACCTAATTTAACCTTAACTACCTCCGCCTAAAAGCCCTATCTCCAAGTACAGTCACATTGGGGGATTATGAATTTAAGGGGTGCACAATTCAGTCCCTAGCAATGTCTGTGACAAGTTTTGCCACGTCTCCAAGTTCTTCCAGACCACTTATCTTTCTCATGGTAGGCATGTCTAGGATTAATACAACCCACTGTCTTACAAGAAATCTAAACAACAACAACACATGAAAAGAAAAAACATAACTTCATCTAGTCTGTCCTATTTCCATTACTTGGATCAGCTCCCCCATCCCCTTGCAATCACCATTAAACCGCACAGATAATTACCTATCTGAGGCAGCAGTCCTCCCACATAACCTGAAGCCATTGCCATTTGTCACAGCAGATCATTTCCAGAACTCTGACAGCCAGCCCTGGAAGCAGGAAGAATGCTCATTTTCCTCACTCTGCCAGAGCTTCAGAAAGAACTCGGCTCAAAATAGATGCTATTGAAGCAGGAGACACATGAGGAGGTACACAGCCTATCAATACCCCAAGGCGGGCCCCTCCTTGCCCTCCATTCTATTGACCGCATGAGAGCCGCCGCTGGAAGTTCTGTAATCCAAAGCCATCAAGTACTCATGGGGCTGGCAACCATAAATAGAAAATGAATTGAATCGCTCTCTTTCAAATTAGGATAATGACATTGTCTGGGAAATGATGATTAAAAAAAAATAGTTCAAAATATTGGTTTGAATTTCCTTCCTGCTATTCTTTCTGCTCAGGCTCTTCTCTCTGTTTTTTCACAAGCTTTCCCTCCCAGTGGCTTGGAGACCCATGTGTTCAGTAACACGCTCCCAAGAATGAGGGGCCAAAGTCAGCCTTAACTTTGACATCACTATTTCCAGGGCAGGAACTAGACTTTTCCTCCTTTACTACCTCACAATCCATCCTGATGGACAGACCTTTAAGGTTTATCTCCTGGATATGTGCAAACATGCCTCTCCTCTACACTCCCCCTGTCCCTGCTTGAGTCCAAGCCACCACGTCTTCTCTCACCTGGGCACACACCGGCCTCCCATGAAGTCTCAGTGCCCCTGGGTTCTCCTCTGTCATCCATCCACCACACGGAAGCCTGAGCCATCCTCCTACGGCACTAAGCTTCCTTGCCACTTTACTGCATGAAACCTTCTAGTGGCCCCCCCATGGCCCTCAGGACAAAGCCTACACATTGTGGTATGGCATGCAAGGCCTTCTGTGACCTGGTCCCCCGGATAACTCATGATGTCCCCATGGGCCAGGCCTCCAGCCACAAGAGATGTCACACTCAGGTTAGTCTTTCGTCTTAACCCTCGAGGGACAAGAACCACACAGGTAGAGAGGATCCTAAGAAACACAACGTGTAGGCCCTTGTTTCTAGGCAGAAGGCACCTAAATCATGCAGGGAGAAGGCTGGTATGGTCTCAAAGACCTCTCCCTTCCCTGGGTCTGACTTCAGAGGAATTCCTCTGCCAAACAGTGGTTCAGATAAAGAGCAAAAATACCCTATGAGAAGTAAGGCCCATTTAAAATCGACACTAATGATTGGACTGAGAAGCTCTTTAAATCATATGGCTGTTCTTCATATGGGGAGTAAAGCACAAAGCAACCTCACAGGATGTTTTGAATGACTCATCTTCCACACAGACTCTGCTCTCCAGATTGGACCCGTATCATTCATCTGCAATTACAGCTGTCATTTTGTACAACACGAGAACGACTCTGACGGCTGTGCTGATCTGGGGAGAGGTGAGGAGACAGGTCGAGGAGGAAAGATTAGTTCTGGAAAATCAGGCATTTGCTGGGTCACCCTGGAGTTTTTGCCTTTGAATTTGGTCTCCTGGAGCATTAAGTCGACCTGAAATCTTTCTAAAATGAGAACCATTCAAGTGTCAAACAGATAGGAGCCACGTAGAGATGAAAGGCCGCAAGCATCTCAAAGGCACAAGGCATGGCTCCATCTCCAGACCTTGGCCAGAAAAGTCACAGCATAACCTGAGCCCACGAATTTCCAGGAAATTCGTCAGCCCACGAAAGGAAACCCCACCACAAGGAAGCTGAGACTCTTCAGTCTATTTTCCTCCCTCATTTTCTATTCTCCACTCTCCTAACCAAACCATGCCCCAAATTCCACCTGGAGAACCCTACACTCTGCATGGCAGGCCTCCAATCACCAATCATCCTGCCACAAAACTGTCCATTTCTCGAGATGAAAGATGCACATGCTTCTAACTAGACGCTTCATGCTGAACTCCAGGGCCAGCGAGGAAGGGAAGGGTTCCAGATCCACCCACAGGCCCTGTCTTCTATCCTGGCCATCTTCTGGGGATAGACAGCAGCAGGGCAGAGATGGTGCTGCCCCCTTTGGGCCAGGCCTAGCTCCCAACACTGTTGCGTGAGAATGGCACTCAGCCATTCCCTTCTACTCTCAGCCCCAGAAGGGAGAGACATGTTTAATGTCTAAAACTCCATCAATTGGCTCCAGCCTGAGGCCCCTGGCCTAGGATACTCAAGTCAAGGCTCTGCCCTATCTTCACCAGAGCCTTGGTCTCATCATCCCCACAATGAGGAACATGGCAGCAACAATATTCTCCAAGCTTTCCTATGTGGCCAGGTGTTCGGTTCTCAGGGCCGTGGAAGAGATTTTTCATTAGAAAGAGCCACAGAAGAAACCTTTCCAGGAGACCTCATGGGACAACAGCAGAACTGGGAGGAAGTCACATGCCTCTGTGTCTGAAAGAGCTGGCTGAACACAAGAGCACTGCCCGGTCCAGACTGGCTCCTCATTGGCAGGAAGATCATTGCAGAAAGGTGACTGGCCTGCCTGCCCCAAACTCTCAGCAACCTGCCACATTCTACCCAAGTCATTCATTTCCTGGCATAAGCATTGATGTGGGAAACAAAGGCAGAAGAGAAATTATTAAATGCCCTCACTACCTACAAAGTCCTTGAAACAGGCAGTGTGACATTCCTCTAGGGACTCAACTGCCTCGATGTTAATACTTTGCTAAGGGCAAAAGATAACCCTAGCCCGATCCCCTCCCCACCAAGGATCCTGTGAGTATACTTTAACATATAAAAATTCCTTTAGAAATTTCCTTTATCTCTAACCCCCCCCCAAGATACGTGTTGACAATTGCCCCCCCAAGCATATGGCCCACTGATATACATCTGAAGGGTCTCATGACTAAGGTTTTATTAGACAGTAATAAATGACCTTTTCCCAACAATAGCTAGCCCCCTCAAGGTCCTGGAAACCTTGCTTCCAAATTCCTTAGAGACTTAGGCTGTCCCTAACCTCCTCCCAACTTGAAAGTATATAATGGGCCACTCCTCATGAACCTGGTGAGGCTCTTTCTGCCCATGGGTCTTGTCCAAGTGCTTTAATAAAACCACCCTTTTGCACCAAAGACCTCTCAAGAATTATTTCTTGGCCATCAGCTTCGAACCCTAACATTCTTTCCTACATCAAACATGATCCTTTCCAAGTCCTGGGTAAGAATAACGCACCCTCCCACACCCCCGTGGAGAGGATCACCCACTCACTGGGTTGCCCGCAGGGTCATGGAGATGAAATGATCAGTTCTGGAATCTCTGGGTCTGCTGCAGTCACTGCTGGTGCCTTGCCCCTACCCCCTCCCCCATTAGCATGTCAACTGCATGGCTTCCAATCACAAGGTCTGGAGAAAGTCTTTGTGCTAGGGCTTTCTCCGGCCAGTGGAACCTGCTCAGCCCATGCACAGAGCAAGCCTAAGTACTAGGGAGTCAACATCCCTCACCACTGGCAGCAGCCATCAACCCCTGATGGATGGGACTTATAGGACCAGTACCCCAGCCCTCTCACCCCTTGGTTGTGGTAACTCTGAGCACATTCTGCACTGTATCCCAGAGCTCCTGAGTCTGATGCACCTTCAGTCACTCACAGAGTAACCCTCTGGACCCTCTATTGGCTTCTTTCCCTTCTCGATCTTACTTCCTCACTCCCCACCCTGCACCGTCCAGTGTCCCTTGGGATTAGAAGCCAGATCGATGTGACTCCAAAACCCCAGATCTTGCCACAGCACCAAGCTGACAATCACCCCCAGCCCTCTGTTTGCAGCTGTCCCCCAGGGGCAGATAATGGAGAGGGGGCACTGCAGAGTCCTTGTCTTCAGAGACCACACTGGCCTCTGAGTCAATAGCTCATCCACAGGTGCTGCATTCCTGGCATTCCATGCCTGTTTTATGCAGTCGGATTCCAACCCAGGTGTTTGGCTCTATATCCAAAGGCCAGGAAGTTCTTTTTTTTTTCTTTAAACTGGGCTGCTTTAAAGAGGCTATACCACCAGGGATTCTGGCATTGGATGCCCCTTTAGGTTCACTCCAACGCTGAATATCTGTGCAACAGTCTACAAGGCAGAACTGGAAACAGAATGAAATATCCCCCACCCCTTAGAAAGTCACAGTTTAACGGTTGTTACAATTGTTGGGGACTTTATGAAAGGAGACCACAGCCTAATTTTGGAAATTAACCTAGCACCAGCTGCAGCTTCCTGGCCCCAGCCTGCAGACGTATATCCTTGTCTTCACACATATGCTCATCTGGACATGGGGTGGCCTCGGGGGGCTGAGGCATGCAAGATGAAATCCCACAAATCTCCATTATTAAATCCATGATATATTTCAAACCCTACCCTCTATCTCAGTAATGACACCTCTGACATCCCTCCAAAGTAGGAGAGAGGGAGGGAAGGCGGGAGTGAAAGAGGGAGAGAGGTTCCGTTTTTCTCTGTCCACATGCACCAGCCTCTTCTCTGCCAGAACGCTGGGAACAGTGAGATAGGTCTCATGCAATACCTCCAGCCCACAGAAGGCACTGTCAACCACCAACTGATTTAAATCTGCCCAATCTCACCTGCCTTTGGTCCCAGTAACCTCAGGTTGTCTTAAGCTAGTCCAGACCCATTTGGATGCTCTTCCCAGGCTAACCCTGGGGCCCAAACCTCATTTTTACTCCTCTTCCACTCTCCTCCCCTCCAACAACTTACCTCGGTCTCTCTCTCCAAGCAGATATATGGAAAACAAACTAAATACTAAGTGGGCTTCTCCATCAGAGGATAACCCAGCCCTAAAGTGGCACCTTTGGAAATTCTACACTTGCCTAAAACATGTTAGGGATTGTCCCCAAGTTCCTCTGGGTGTGTATCAACCCCTCTGTGGCTGCAGTACCTCCATGGAAAGGGCTTAAGAGTCTTCACTAAGGCACAGATCCGCTGTTGACAGCTTTGCAGTTATTCAGAGGAATTGGAAGCCTTAGACTCCACATTTAACCTCTGGATGTCTCCTTATAAGCGCCTCCGCACATCCTACCCTTCCTTCAAAACCCAGCCAAATGCCACCTCCTCTTGAAAGCCCTCCCTGATTCCCTGTGCCAAAGGAGGCCTCTCATGCTACAGACTTCCCTGTACTTCCCTCCTTGGGTGGTGCTCCATGTTACCCTCGCTTGAGTGCAAGCCCCCACATTCTCAGTGTGCAGCAGGCTCCTGGGAGGTAGGCCTGCCTCTTCATTTCAGGCCCCAGCTCCCACCCCCATCAGCACAGAGTCTTCTTGCTGCAAAAAGGTGCTCAATAAATGTTGGAGGAAGACGATGGGCAAACAAATAACTGTTTAGGTCTCTCCATGACAAGAGTGGCAAAAGGAAAGCACAGAGCAGATGACATCCCCCTGCCCCACATGACATCACTTCTTTGGATGACGACTCCTCATCAAAATGGAGATGGCAGGAGAAAGGAAGGAACAGTAAGTAATGAGGAAGAGGGACAGAGAGTCCTTGATCATCCAGGGCCCAGTTAAAAAACAGGAAGCACTTTCCCAGAAGGGTTTTAGTACAAGAAACAAGTTACAAAGTAGCCAAGGACAGGGAACAATGAGGCAACCTAGACATCACCATCCGTAGCTAGACTCCACTGGAAGGTCACAGCATTACCAGAGCCTGGGAGCCAAGGCCACCAGTCAGATCTGGGAGCACGGAGGGCCACACTGGCTGTAGCAAACGCAACCATAGAGAAGACGTGGCCACTGCCCTAGGCACTGCCCTAAACAGAGAGGGACAGGCATACCCTGGCTTCTGCCTGTTTCTTGCCCTCCAGTTTCCCACTGGTGCCTCCCCTTGACCAAACACAGCCTGAAGCCAGAAGGTAAGGGAGCCTGAGAAATGCCACCTGAGCCCTTGACTGCCCAGCTCCCTCACCCCACTAGCAAGGAGCCCTCGCCCCCCATCCCAATGGGTCCATAAAGTCAACTTTTTCAGGACCATACGGTTGACCTGGCCTCTCAGGGCTTTAGGATGCCTCTGTGACATGGATTTGGCTACCACCCTCTAATTCATTCTGATGAGAGCCACCAGAGGTTTGATCCACAAGAGGGAGGAATTAGGAAGCCTGCTCTGCAGAATCTTGAAGCCAGTGACCAGTAACGCCGAGAACAACCAACTCTGACATTTAAGCAGAGCTCACGCGCCCATGAATGTTTACAGGAAAATATGGAAGAAATCCCACTTTGCAGAGAAACAGCTGGGTATTTAAAAGCTTTGTTTATACTCAAGCATCTGCCTCAGGAATCTGACATGTTAAATAAACTCATTACTACCCACCTTGTCCAAACTTTCATCAGAGAAATGGAAAAGGACCGACGAGGGCAGGTAGACCTTGGCTCCCGAAGTTCAGCCTCACAATTCCAAGTGGTCTTATCCCCACTCCAACCCAGCCTTGAGGTTTTCTGCATCAAGGTTTAGCCTTGGTTTTAGGGTCTGCCATTGACGTTGAGAGACCCTGAGGAGGCTATTTCTAAGCCCAGAAGAGATGGGGCAGTTGAGAAACTCGAAGGCCAGGGGTGGCAGCTCAGCTCATACAGACAAAGTCATTGTTGGGGCCTGGGAAGACCCATGCTCTCGTGGCCAGGGTAGTGTTACTGAACCGGACACATGTCCAGAGTTTGCCAGCCCCTGTCCCTCACCGGGAAGTGAAGGCTGACCCACGAGACTTGGACAGACCCCGGCCAGGCAGTTGTCACAGCCAACTCGGACAAGACGGGGAGTCTGCAGAGGTTAATCTCCCATATTCTTGCCTTCCCCTCAATGGCCTTCTTTCCCCATTCGACCTGGGGGCACCCCAAAAGGCCTTAAAATGCTGGTCTGCCAACAGACATCTTAGGATCAGATGCACGCTGACAGGGAACTGAACCCTGAGCTCTAAAGCAGAACTCCCCGGTTGAGATGGAAGGGATGGGGTGGTACAGGTTAGGGCGCCCCTTCTGCCTGGAGGGCCTCATCATGTCCCACCGAGGTTCAGGGTGAGCAGCCCCAAGCTGGGTAAGAAGGACCCTGAGCAACCAGAACCTACACAAGTTTATCTCTCAGGAGGGAACCGTAGTCTCCTGGGTCCAGTCCACACCTCATCTCCTGCTGTCCCTACTACACTCCCCTCATCTGGCTCTCGTGGCTCCTCGATCTTCATGACACACAGCCTGGGTCTTCTTCGGCTGGCAGTCCCTGTGCCTTTGCCCTCTCTCCTCCTCCCATAAGGCTCTTCCCCACTTTCCCTTCAAGGACCAGGTCAACCACCACTTCTGGTCCCACCCTCACCTCCCCAGGCTCCTCACCCCCCAATGGACAGGGAACTCAATGGGGACAGGGCTCAGGAACGTGCCACCAGCCCTCCACCAGGCACACTTAGATTCCCCAACTCAGTTCACAGAAAGAGAAGCCATGTCATTTAGTCACATCAGCCATGCTTCCCCACCTGATCTGGATGGACAATTCTGTTCCACATATCTGACCTGTTGGCCGCAGACATAAAAGGAACAGAAATCTCCTCTATTATCTGATCCAGCCAAGAAAATGCTAAGCCAACCACAGCAGCCAAAAATGCATTCTGTGTTTTCCATGTATCTACAGACTCAAACAAGCTTCTAACAAGCACCAAGTTGGTAACTTCTGATAAAGCCTCCCCTAGGTTTGGACAAATTTAAAGGATCCCCTGCCTTGCCACTATTCATTTAAGATAACCCATAAAAATGGATGAATCAGAAGGGCTTACTCACGTGACAAAAGACAACATGGAATTCCAGTTCCCCTGGGCTAGCACTTCTCAAATGCTTATCCCCATCATAATTTTTGCCATCACCCACTTACCATCTGTATTATTATTAATTTTATATTTTTCTTCACATTAACATTAAAATGACTCTCTTTTATTCAAATTGAGCTTTTCTCATTCATTGCAGTTTATTTTTCCTAATATCCGCTAAGC